GCCTCATCTTGGGGGATTCTCACTCTCTTCAGTTTTGGGGGACAGAATAGGCCCCACCTGGCCCAAAGGCGGCTCCACCCAGTGCCTCTGTGGCGTTCTCAAACCCCAGGGCCCGGCAGACGACGCTGGCATCGGTGAGGTCCCAGAGGTTGTCGCACACTGTGCCCCACTGGCCTCCATAGAAGATCTCCACACGGCCCTCGTTAGCTGCGGCCCCGTTGGCCAGCCGCATGTCCCCATCCTTCACACCTGCGGGGAAAGCCAAGGTCAGCTGGGAGGAGATCTGGCCCCCGTGGCACCACCCTCCCTCGCTACCCAGCCGGGGGTGAGGGTCCACTGGGCGGAGGGAATGGCCACATGGAGCACCAGAGGTTAAGTTTCCTTTCCTTGTCTTCAAGCCCTGAGCTCTTGGCTCCCCAGAAAAGGGACACCAGGACCCTTGTGCTCTAGCACCTCAGCGCAGAAGTGGTGAGACCCCCAGGGAAAGATGGGAAGGGAAGGAGCCCCACCTGTGGCTCTGGTGCCAGCCTGCGGGGCAGTAGGCCAGGGAGCCGGACGCTCAGGCAGCACAAATGCCCTGTGACTCACCATGGGGTCCTGGGGAACCCACTGTCATTGAAATTATGGAAAGTTGAAGGGGTGCTGGACCCAGCTCAGCTCCAGCACACCCCAGCTCAGCAGCACGTCCAGGTGCAGTCAGCCAGGCGGCCCCCAGTCTCCAGGCCATGGGTCTGAGCTGGAGCCGGAACAGCAGCTCTGGTCGCTGCGCAATATCGCAAGAGAGCATAGACCAGGTGTTTCCAGTCCAGGAAAGAATCAGAAGTCAAGGTTCAAAGCATGGCTCTCTCTGCTTCCTGGTGTGAGCCACTTCCCTCTGCCACACTCTCCCGCCATGATGCTCAGCCTCCCCTCAGCCCCCAGGAGGGGAACCGGCCTTCTATGGACTAAGACCTCTGAAACCGTGAGCCCTCAAATAAACGTTTCCTCCTGACAGTTGTCCTGGTCAGATCCTTTCGTCCCAGCAGCGAAAAAGGTGACTAAAACAATGGCCAACCTGCTTTAGCTGGTGGACAGGCAACTGTGCTCTAACGTAGAGTAAGTCATGGAAGACGGCTTACTGACCCCTTGCCTTAAAAATAGGTCTTTAGATTCAAAATGTGCAAGACTTGTGTTTTTATAGTGTATATATGTAGATATATGACTTTTGTTTTACATATTTCCCATCATATGTGAATATCGTGTGTTCAGTGACTTGGAGACGGTGAATCTGACAGCTGGTCTCAATTTTTTTTTTTTTTTTAAGTCTGTGATGCACCTTTGGCAGATTGTATTTAAGTCTGAAATAAACAAGTCAACAGATGTCTGGGGGAAAGCTAGAGCTGGAAATTAGGAGGAATAAATCCGAGACTTAACTCTTTCACTAGTTGAGCGATCTTAAGCAAGTTACGTAGTCTGTGATGATCAAGGTTGAGTTTCGTTTTTAAGATTAAAGTAAGAAGCTTTTCCCAGATTCCCTTCATTAAAAGTTTATTCAGCTTCTCCCATGTGGCAGGCATTGTGTGAGGCCATCGATGTTTTCCTGAGGTTCCTCTGATTTGAGAATCTGTGTGTTATTCTTTGACAAACATTTTAAGGATTAAATAAGCAATGTGATTTTATCGCCTAATGCATAGCTTTAAAACTTATAAACAACCTGAATAAGAAGTTATTTCAAGTCCTTCTTTTTTCCTGGATGCCATCTTTCAGGCTTTCTCTCATTTATAAAGCTATCAAATGAGTATGAGTGTGTGTATTGATGTAAGAGTGTGAAGAGAAACAGAAAAAACTTGAGTTTGTGAGGTTTAGAAAACAAAGGGGTATTTAGAAATGTGATATCTTATTTTTTTAAAGGAAAGTCATTTTAAAGGGAAAAGTATATAAAGTCATAGTATTTTATAGTGGTGATATTAAAGGTTATATTAATGATCCTCTGCATTTAGTTGACAAAAGGAAAAATGTGATCTTTACCCAAGTTGCACTGTTCTGAGTTCAATGCTAAGTATTATTATCTCTATTTTGCCGCTAAGAGAAATGAGGCAGGGACAAATTAGATAAGACTGTTCGATATTACACAGAATGCCAATGAAAAAGGAACTTTAACCCAGGACTGCACTGCTATCAGTAAAATAAGCATATAGCTTCAGTATATTTATGCACACATTAAAAAATGGGGCTGGGGATACAGCTCAGTTGGTCAAGGGCTTGTCTTGCATGCATAAGGCCCTGGGTTCAACCCCCAGCACCACCAAAAAAAAAAAAAAAAAAGTACCACTGCATGGGTACATTACTTATTATTATAAACACATAACACACAAAAAGAAAATTAAAAAGCATGCAGCAGATAAAAAATAAAGTCAGAGTTTTAATGCTTTCCATAGTCTGAGCGTAGACTCCCAGGATGTAGCACATGGGGCCATGGATTTGCGTTCTCCTTTGGAGGCTCGGATAGTACAAGGTGCATAAGAAAGTACACTAAGGCAACTCCTTCCGTAACTCTTCCAAGCCATTGATCTGCTTCTAGAAAACCAGTGGGTCCAGGGACTGGGCTGGGGCTCAGCAGTAGAGCCCTCGCCTAGCACATGGGAAGCACCGGGTTCGATCCTCAGCACCACATAAAATAAATAAATAAATAAAAATAAAGGTATTGTGTCCAACTATAACTAAAAAAATTAAAAAGCCAAAAACTGGTGGGTCCAGCGCCTTTAGAACTGGGGAAATGAAGGTTGAAACACACGTCTTGCATGTTAGTGGCACGTTTGTACTGACAGAAGAACACACACTGGACTCTGGGTCACTTGTGAACGCCAGAAGCAGGGAAGGAAAGCTGCCTTCTCCTAGGAGAAGTGACAGAATTCCAGTCTTCTACATGATCCTGGGGCACCAGACTGAGGGGAACTGCCTGCAGCTGACTCTGATGTACAAGCTGACTTTGGGGTTTACAGAGGAGCTGCCTCAGGTACTCTCTTATGCTCTTCGGCATCAGTCCTTTTGCAAATACTTTAAAAAATTTAATTATTTCATTTGAAAATAAGTATCAAAAAAAAAAAAAAAAGAAAATAAGTATCAAGAATTTTAAATTCCAATGGTGAGTACCATTAGAATTAAAAATATGGCCAGGAAAACATCATTGCCTTCACAAAATTTGCTAAAATGACATAAAAAGGGTCAACATTTCTCCTTTCTTGTGTTCACAGCTGGTTGTCAATCATGCATTGGCCCCACTAATTAGCATGTTCCTCCTCCTGGTGGCCTTGACTGTCCATTTACTTAATTTTATTGTATGTAAGTATTTTGTTGTAAGCCACACAAAATAATTTGGGGGAAGTCGATTTAAATATGGGTGTACACTTGTGTGTGTATACGAGCGTGCATATCATTTAAATATGCCTAAAACCATATTTTAGAAAAGATTCAAATTCGGTTTCTACTAGATTCCTAAGGCCTTTGTACCATCGTAAAGTTAGAAAATTCCAAGTCCATCTGTACTTCAAGCCCAGAGAGGAAACTGGGCTCCTGCCCCCACTCGTCCTCCCGAGGCTCAGCGCACTGGCACCCCTCGACCCTGCTGGTGCCTAGCAGGAGCTGGGTGCCTGAAGTGGGGTCACCCACACCGAAGGGCGGTGATCAGGGGGTGTGTCAGGTCTATGCGGGGCCACCAGGACAGGACAGGGACTGCAAGACCCACAATGTCAAGAGTGCAGGTGTGACAGTGAAGCCAAAGTGAGTCCATCTTGTTTTGTGACTCCATTCTGTAAAACAACCATGCCAACTAGAAGGGTCATGGCCAGGGCAAGTTGTCCTCTTCCTTTTGCTATAGAGACCTTTAAGAACACGGAACTACCTGATGGGGCACTGTTTCTGTAACTAGGGTAACGGGCTCTGTTTCTGTAACTGGGTGACTGGGCTAACTGATTGGCTAAGTGTCCCTCCGCCTGACTGCACTCTCCCGCTTCTGTAACCTGGCTGGCTTGCATTGGCTGGACCCACAAATGTTCCTTTTGTGGTTTTCGGGCTTATAAGGAGTGCCTTGCAATTGTTCGGGGCTGATCAGGGGAAAGCTTTATGTTCTGGTCAGTCACCACCGGTGTGCTTCAATAAAGGCTTGATTCGATTATATGTGAGTGGTCTGGAAGTCAGTTTATGAAACCCTGGGACGAAGCTTTAACTACAACACAGGGACGAGCGTCCAGGGCCCTGTGAAACTTGGCCTCAGCACAGCCCCAGTGGCTGCTGGTTTGATTGGCAACCCTGCTTGGCTCTGCTGGCTCCCATGGGGCGGGTATTCCTCAGTATTTCAATCACCTGCATCTCATCTGGGTCCAAGGGAGCCCCAGTTTCCCCAGAATCTACAAGCCACCGTCACTGGGGGTGACCAGGGCTCCTCCATGCAGGAGAGAAGACCCCCATTAATCCCTGGGACCAGGCACCAGCAGGACACCCCCCTAAGGAGGGGCTTGATCCACAGAGCAAGGGCCCAGCAGCCCGCAGGCTTTGCTTTGGGGTTTCCCGTGGCTCAACTCACCTTGAATCCCGGGGACCAGCAGCCACACCCAGAGAAGGCAAGGGAGAGCCATGGCCCTGCGGTGGAGGGAAGTGGCAGAGTGAGACCAGGACTGTTTCTTCCACCACCTTCTTCCAACCTGGGGGCCCAGGGTGGCAGGCAGCCCTCTCCTGAAGAGCCCAATGGCAGGTGTGATGCACGGCCTGAGCGGGGCGCTCACCTGGTCTGCAGGCCGGGGGGCCTTGACGGGTGAGTGAGGCTGTGTGGGATGAAGAGGGTGGGCTGGGGGGTCTGCGGGCAGTGGAGGTGAGGGGGAGGGTGTGGAGAGCCCGATACGGCAGGGGCTTATCTACAGGCAGCAGACCCCTGTGGGGTGTGCCACAGAGGTTGGCGGCAAAGGTGGAGGGTGGGAGGGAGAGGACCGAGTGGGGACAGGGAACCGATTAGGAGGAGGCCGCAGGACCAGGCCCAGAGTGACAGAGACTGATAGCCGAGACAGGAGTGTGGGCTGCGGACGGTGGAGAGAAGGGCTCCGGGTGGAGGTCCAGGTCATGTGCAGCCAGGTGGGAGTGGGGTCATGACTGAGACTCAAGGTACTGAGGCTCAGAGACTGGGGGCCATCAAGGCCAAGGGCCAGGCTGGGCATGGGAGGTCTCAGGCCTTCGGCTTTTGGGCTAGAGCTCTGTGCTGTATGTGATTCTCTTTTTATTTTATTTTATTTATTTATTTTAGGCATTGGGCATTTCATCCTGGTGCGCTTCACCACTGAGCTACATCCCCAGCAATTCTTAAAATTTTTCAGATTTTGAGACAGGTCTCACTAAGTTGTGGAGGACGTCACTATGTTGCTGAGGCTGGCCTCTAGAGCAGCTGGGATTACAGGCAAGCGCCACTACGCCTGGCCGCTATGTACTTGATGCACAGGTAGGAGCAGAGCCAGGTGACAGCCCTGTGCCACCCAGTCTACTCTCCACAGTCCCTCCAGCAGGGGGCTGGCTGTGCTCTGGGCCGGTAACCTTGAGGCTGGGCCTGGTTCTCTGCTGCTTAGAGTGGGGGCCTGGTGGGTGGCAGTAGTGACATCCCTAGGGTGGCAGGAGGTGCACCCCTCTACACTGGGACCTGCATTAACAAGCTGGGGGGCCCCAGGCCCACTGGCAAGTGATGAGTTTGCCCCCTGCAGGGTGTGCCCCCTCCAACACCACTCACACCCCCTCCCAGGACCCTGGAAATGCCTCCACAATCCCTCCCTGCCCCCTGTACAATAGAATGAGCCAAAGCCTGGAGAGCTTGGCTGGTTCCAGGTCACATGGCTGGCAAGCCTCAGGCAGGGTCTGTGGTGCCCCTCTCTTCCACAGGGGTCTCTGTAGGGCCTGAAGGATGGGGCACCCACCTCCCTGACCTGGCACCACCCCAGTCTTAGCACCGTGCCCAGGAAACCTCTATCCCAAGAGCATTGAGGTGGCTGGTTTCCCTCTTTACTTGTTCACATGGGACAAGAATTCGGGGCCTTGGGAACAGAGATGTATGCACCCAGAGATGGTGCATGGCATGTGAACGTGGCTGACTCTGGGTGGCAGCGCTGTGTTTGCCTGGAGAATTGGGACAAGGCTGCCTGTGCTGGCTCATATGGTCTTTTGGTCCTTCATGCAAATGAAGGAAAGTCACCCTTCTTTCAGGAAGGTGCAGAATGCACAGAGGCTGAGGGCCGAATTCTTACCCTCGCGGCTGGTGTCCTTGTGCAGGGAACAACCTACCCAACTGTACAAAGAGGCCCTGCAGGTCTGGGAGCAGGAAAGATGGGTCCTGGGAGCAGGGAAGATGGGTCCTGGGCTCGGGAGCACCAGTCCCCCAGCTCCAGGCCCAGATGCCAGTGGGAGGCTTCACCATCTCTTGATGGCTCAGTGTAGAGAGAGGAAAGCACTGGCCTGAGAGCAAGAGTGGGAGCTTACCTGTTGAGGCAGCAACTGAAGGCTGTGCTGTCCCCCTCCTGCAGTTGCTGAGCCCTCTGCAGATGGGTCCTTGGCCCCCAAACCCTCCTAGGGCAGAGCAGGCCAGACCGATCCCAGGAAATGCTTCAGAAAACCAAGTCTGGTTTCGATTTCCAGAAACCACCTGACCAAGGTCTGCTCTGGGATTGGCTGCTGAAGACCCCTCACAGTGCCCTTCATCCCCCTCTGCCTAGTGGGGTGGCAACAGCACCAAGCACTGTCTGACCCGAGAAGGCCAGCAGCCCAGTGCAAGTGGAAGCACTCTGGAGGGGGTGGGAAGTGTTGGGGCGGGGGGAGGGGGAGGCAGGGCTGCTGGGTGGAGCAACAGGGGCTCTGGGCCAGAGGGCTTGTCGCTGTGTCTGGCAAGCTACCAGCTTGTCTGGGCCTGGCACTCATTGGCTGGGCAGCCTGTGTGGTGGTGATTGTGCACAAATCCATTGCTTGAGCTTTTGGCATGCTGCACACAGCGGGCCACACCCTTGGAGGATCCATGCACTGACCCTGGCCAGGGGCAGGGAGGCCCTGAGACCTGGGAGACAGTGTGCTTTGGGGTGAAGCCAGTGAGTGGATGAGCCCGACCCTCACACAGCAACTGACCCCACAGCCTGTGCTCTGCACCACCGGACTGCATCCACCACCTCCTGACATCTGTGGGGGCAGGGCAGTCTCTGAAGCACAATGGCCCTCCTGGGCTCACACCCCTTCCCCTTCCTCCCATGGAAAGCCCTGGTGCCTTGACTTCCTCTGGGGGAGCAGCTCATGTGATTCCAGAGGGCTCCAGGCTCCCCAGTCTGAGCTGGGCCTGGCTGGCGAGAGCCCGCAGACCCTCAGCCACATGGATGGAGGGAGGGATCCAGGAGCCCGGCTATCCCAGCAGGAGCTGGCTCTGGGCTTAGGGAGAATTGTCTGGGCTGAGAATGCCAAAACGGGGGCAGAGATGCCGGAGAGTGCAGCTACAGCCTGGCTGGCCCAAGTCAGGGCCAGGCCTGGCCTCTGGGCCCAGCAGGCCCTCTGCTGTGACACCACTGGCATGCTGAGGTCCTAGAGCGGGGTGTACTCCTGAATGTTCCCAGGGCTCTCCCATCAGGGTTTCCAATCTGGGCTGGAGGAGAATCACCCAGAACAAATTTCCAGTGCACTGTCACCCCGCTAAGGTAGGGACAGGCATGGGCACTTTAAAAGCCTCCAGTGGCTCCTCTGAGTGGCCAGCTCTGCTTCCCCGAAAGCTGAGAGCCCAGCTTGCAAGTGCAGGTGTCGGAGAGTCGTGACCACATGTCCTGGCCATCCAGGTCCCAGAGGAGCTGTGGAGACCCAGGGAGACTGCAGACGAGGCAACTTACAGCCTCCTCAGGTCAAGGGCCTCAGGGCTGGTCCACACAGACCCCGACAGCTGTTCCTCATCCTCCCCGGGCGTGGCGGGGGGACAGGAGTGCACCCCCGAGGCCCAGCAGCCCAGCTCCCGCCTGTGGCTCCTGGAGTTGCTCCTCTAAGAGCCAGCCAAGACCGGCTGCTTCCTCCTCCTGGGTTGGCAGCTCCTCATCCTAGCCACTTCTCCTCCGTCCCTGCCCAGGTCCTTGGTGCTCAGTCACCGACACTCTGGATTTTGGCTTGCGTGACCCTGCTTTCTGGGTCCTTCTTGCGGTCCCCTTCCTGGGGGGGTCCTTAAGTCCTTTTGAGGTCTCCCTCCCTGGCTGTACAAGTTCCCTGCCTGATTAGGATGATCTTGGGAGGCTGCAGCACAGGGACTCTCTGCAAAGGGGTGACAGGGGGAAGGGGCCACGCGGTATCTGTGGCTGTGCAGTGGCACTGTCAGCACCCTCAGGCTGCCAGGATGGGTGGTCACTGGGCCTAGACAGGAGTAGGCAAAGCCCTGGGGAGTCAGACTCCTCCCAGTCACCCACAAGATCTCCTGGGAAGGAGGGACAGGGCTGAAGGGACAGGGGGATGACGGACAAGCTTGCTGCCACCACCAGCTTCCCTTTCTCTCTAGCTGCCCCTCCGTCTGGTTCTTCCCTCCTGTTTCGAGGTGCCACGGTCTTTGCATGAGGATTCTGTGATCCTTGGGAGGGCAGAATTCTGGGAGGGCCCAGACCTCTCACCCGAGCACCACCTCCTTACCCGGGCTCCGAGGCGTACCCACCGGGATGTGCAACAACAGGGGTACCTGCATGTGGCCACTCAGAGCCCTTACGCACATTCACTCACTGTCCACATGGCCAGGACACCAGGGGAGGGGAGTCAGGGAATGTGTCCTGGACACACAGCAAGGGCCAGCAGGGTAAGGAGCCTGTGCTCTCAGCTTCCGTTCCTCACACCCTGGGGCCTGTGCAGACCGTGGAAGCTGGACAGGACGCCACGGCTTCCCAAGAGGCGTCCCGGGCCAGGGGGTGCCTGTCCCACTGCCCCCGGGGGGGGCCAAGGACTCTCCTGCCCGGCTTGGTCCGTGCTCCTGAGAGAAGGGTGCCCTGGGGGGGACTTGGCCTGGTCAGCACAGAGCAGGAGACGAGCACTCACGTTCCCCTGCGCTTTATTGTTTATGAAACAAACGGACAAAGGGAAGGAAACAATCATCATGCCGACAGCAGCGAACACGGGGACAGGGAAGGCTGGCTTCAAGGTCTCTGGAAGTCACTCGCACACCAGGCCTGTGGCCCAGGGGCCCCAGAACACATCAAGAGCGCCTCAAGCCAGCGACTGCCCGGCCTCTGGACGTCTTGATTCTGTTTTAAAGAACAGCTCTGATGGCATCGACGGTCAGGGGGTGGCAGCTCAGAAGCCCGCCAGGCAAAGGCAGGAGAGCGGGATCGTGGCTGTGCCCGAGGAAGCCCGGCTTGGAGAAACATCACGTTCAGTCGAGCGTCTTTGCTCTGCTGCTTCTCCTACAGCAGGAGGACCAAGCTGTGCAGGACGTCTCACCAGAGCCCGGCAGGGGACTGTCCCAGTTTCCAAGTAGAAGAGGTCTGCAAGGGTCAGCACAGGGCCAGATGCAGCCAAGGGTCCCTCCCACCACCGCCGAGCTTCTGTCGCAGGGTGGGGCAGCCAGGCAGGGATGCCATGATGAATGGACTCATCCCTTCTTGGCTTAGTCCTGCCTTACCTCTGTCCCCAACCACCCCCACCTCCCCAGCACTGGGAAGAGACAACAGGGACCAACAAGGAGCCAAGTCTGTGCGAAGCTTCCACAGAGAGGAGGCTGCAAAACTCCCACAGGGAGGAGGAAGGCCATGGAGAGAAACCCAGGAGGTGGCAGGACAACCTCCAGAACAAAGCTGCCCTGGTCAAGGGTCAGCTGCCGGCCGGCCAGAACTAGGGTGCCTCCTGGGTCAGGGAATGAGACATTCAAGTCATCCGTGAGAGTCCTGAAGGGCAAGGCGCCTTCTGAAAGCTGCCAGGGAATGGCCGCGAGCCAAGCACTCAGACACCACTGTAAACTGGCTTTGCCACCTGTGGCTGCTTAGTGACAACTTCCTGCCGCTGGTGGCAAATTTATTCACTGTGACTTTGCTCTGTGGGGTGAGATTTGGTGATTCTGTTTGATAAGAGAGGAAACTACTTTAGTAAAAATAAGTTAATAATTAAAACCTCACAGTGCTACACAGCCATAGAACATTCCCAAAGGGAGGAAGCAGGGTCCTTGGCTGTGGGGTGGCTGGGAGCAACCTTGCAGGGTGCCAGTCAGCAGTGGGCAGGTGTCCCCAGAGGCCACCATGCTCCATGCATCCTGCAGTGTAAACATTTACTTTCCAAGGATCTGGGGGCACATGGAATGGATGCCCGGGTTTGAGAGGAGGATGGGGGTAGCTGGGAGCTCCTCACAGCAGGCCTGCCTCCACTCCCTGTGGTTTCCAAGACAGGGCACCTGCTTCAGTGCCCTAGGTGCTCCTGAAGCACCGACTACACAGAGAGCACAGGGAAAGGCAAGCCCGGGAGGCCATGTGGGCCAGAGGGGGGCAGAACCTGGCGGGCGGGCGGCCGGCGGCCCAGATCAAGATGCCTGCAGCGGTCCGTCTCTGCAGCCGCCCGGCAGTGCAGAGCTGGGAGCTGGCCAGGGCCGGGCGGCCTCCCTGCCGCTCACAACCTCGGGCTGCTCCCCGCCAGGGACTGAACTCCCTGCTCTGGGGACGAAGCCAGATACACACCTCATGGTTACAAAGAGAAGACAACAGAAGTGAGTCCCCTGGGCTTTACAGAACCAGAGGCCCTGCTCAGCCTTGCTGGCGTTGGGAGCATTTTAATCTATATGAACTCTATTCCTTCATACTTCACACTTCCTATCTTGGTCTCTGGGAGGAGGACGCGCCCATCAAGCGTGAAGGCCATGATGTAGCTGGCGATGATGCCAGTGTCCTCTTCAGACTTGAGGGCCACGATTATCTGGTCGTCAGTGTTGGGGATGAACTTGAAGGATGAGAAGCCGTGTGTGGGGACCAGCTCCCCAACACGGCGGACGGAGATGTCCCCGAAGTCCTGGGCCGCGCTCAGGAGGAGGTTGGTGCCCTTGTGCTCATCTTCCTTCTCACTGTAGCGCTCGTGGCTGGCCCTGCGAGGCAGGAAGAACCAGCGCTGCAGGGTGTCGCTCCAGCAGGCAGATTCATGAATGAGGTAGCCTTAGGACACAGGACAAACAGGTCACCGAGCACATTCGGCAGGATGCCCCAGCCGGTCCTCCCCCTCCCATCAGGTGTGCTGGCCCTCGCTGCAGTGGCAGGGAGCAGGGACTCAGGACCTGTGGGCAGCAGGAACCGAGGGCCCTCACCGACCTTCCTGTGGCTGGTGACAGCACAGGCAGGCACAGCAGACAGCAAATGCCGCTCTAAGCCTTTGGTAGCCTGGCTCCTGATGCTGACCCAGGTGCCCATGAGACAGGCATTCTGTCTCTATTTTTGTTTCCTTGGTGCTAATGAAGGGGCACAGAAAAGAGAAAGGGCCCAGAGAGGGGACAAAATAAACAGGCAAGTCTGACCTGTGGGCAAAGCCACCAGAGGGGAGGCAGCCTGAGGCAGAGGAGGCCTGCCCCTCCCTTCTAAGACAGGAGCACCCGCAGGAGGAGCTCGGCTCAGCCACTTCCTCCTGCACCGGGAGCTGCCCCAGCCTCCAGAGAAGCACACACCCCTGGACAAGGGTCGAGGAAGGCGGCCAGAACTGCCCACCTCCTCCTGCTGTCACTGGGAGGGACCATGGCCCCAACCCCTGGAACAGAGATAGCCCACGCTGGGGCTGCTCCTGTGTGGACCACGAGGTGCGGTGGAGGTACTGTCAGGACCAGGCAGGGACAAAGAGAAAATGGCTCCTGAGCCCTGGAATCCCTGGCCGGAGGGCAGCAACCACAGAGAGACGAACACTGAGCACAAGGCGACTGTCACTGTGCCTGGGGCCTCAGACCTAACACCTGTGGGGTGACTGTGGGGGCTGGGCCGGAGCCAGCCTCTTACGCCTCTTACCTGGGGGTCGGATCCCAGCGGCGGCCCTCAGGGCATTGTAGCTGGACACCCAGTTCTCGTGGTCCACACTGCCCCTGTGGCCCACCACCTTCACCCACTCGGGGTTCTCATTCATCACCTCCCCAGTGGTGGTGGTCCACTCCTTGCCCAGGCCGCCCACGTACAGGTGCTCGTCCTTCACAGCCAGCCACTCAGCTTTGAAGCCTGAGGCAAGGAGAGGAGAGAGGGGGAAAGTGCCTGCGGCTGGCCGCCCCACTTACGCCACGCCTCCCCCCATGCCGGGCCTGCAGGAGCTGCCGCCAGTTAGGCCACGGAGCCCTGGCGGCCGGCGCAGCAGCTTTGGACATCAGAAGTCACGGCATTTGAATTTCACTGGGCAGGGGCAGGGGGCAGGAGCCAGGGGCAGGAGCCTATGCAGAGCCCCACACAGCCCCACACCCAGGCATCCCAGAGACGGCAGTACCTCCCTCCCCGCTTTCTGCCCTCTGAGGAAGACCCCATCTTCCTTTGGCAACCCTAGCAGGAAGTCTCTGTGAGTGGCTTGAGTCCCTCCGGCACTGCAGCTCCACCCTCCCCTCCCCCCCCCCCCCCACCCCCCCAACCTGCCCCCCACCCCCAAGACCACCCCCAGATGCTGGAGGCCTGACAGCAGGCCTGACAGCCCGTGTGGTCTGCGGCGGGACTGCCCAGGAGGCCTGGTGTTCAGATGCGTCTTCATTTTGATGTATTTATTCAGGTCTACCTCTGTTTTTCTCTTAGCTGACTTATTTACTATGAGCCAACCTTTGAAGGCTGCAGCACAGTTCAGGCTGGGGGCCTTTGTTCTTCTAGCACATTCTGACCTGTTCTAACCCCTGATGCTAACTTGTGGTTGTTTTCCCAAATATCCTGCAAGCTTCTCAGCTCCAAGGAGCTGGAGCTCCAGCCCCTCCCTGCACCGAGGACAGCAGCTCCTGGGAGACTTCTCTGCAGGTGGCTCTGGGGGGTCCTGCTGAATTCTGGCAGCCCCAGTGACCTCGTTTCCTGAGCCACATCTGTGATAAGATGCTCCATTCACTGGGTCTTCAGTCCCTTCTGGATGCCCTGAGCACAGGCCAGTCCCAAAGGCCCTGTGACCCTGCTTTCTTCCTGGTCCAAGAGGAAGAACGAAACCACACAATGACAGCCTAAAGCCCTGATGGACATAAAGCAGGAAGTTGGGCAACCAACATCTTCTGATTCCCACATGGAGATGTGTCCCTCCAACAACCCAGCCGGGGGCAATGCTGGATTTCATCCCCGGGAGACGGCCTGAGAGGCTGCCATGGGAGCCCAGTTAGAGCAATTCCTTCTTTGACCTGAAAGAGCCTCCAGGTGCATTTAACTTTCTAAAAGGGGCAGGTCCCCAAAGAGCTCAAATGGGGAATGATGCGCCAACCTGGCCAATGCCCTGGGCGCCTGGGCTCTCTCTCCATGTGATAGCTCTGGCAGCTCATCCCTGCCCCAGAAGCAGTAACTCCTTCCTGGCAAACCCAAGCTCAGGGTTGGGTGCTAGTGGTGGGCAGGAATGGTGGCTCCTTACCACCGCCCTGCCCTGCTTGCTTCCGGGCAGAGCATGATAGTTCAGGAGACCTTTTCTATAGGCTCAGGGTGGTAGCAGTGGCTTCCAAGTTCCAGAAGCTGAGATCAAAGTCTCGCTCAAAACAGAACCACCGGCCACCATGGTTTCAAGGTAAGGTACTTGGGGGTGGACCCCAGCCCAATCCTAAGATGCCTATGAAGATACACAAGGGGACATGGTTCTGAAGGGAGCAAAAGCAGAAGTGACATGGTCCTAAAACTCATTCTGGAAGAAATGTCCCACTCTCTGGAGGGCTCTAGTGATAAGCTTTGACTTCTAGAAACAGCTGGGTGTGATGGATGGGTGGCTCCTGTTCATGGTGGGGGTGCAGGGCTGAGTAGGTGAGAGCCTCGCACTTCTGGCTGTATGAAGTCTTCACCCGGCACCAGGGTTACTTTTCAACTGCAAACCCAACTACAGCCAGCTGGCCCGGGGTCCCCCAGCACAGGCCCTGATGAGAACTTGCCAGAAGTGGCTCCCTTTAGGGGCTGGGACCTGGCTCGGGGTAGAGCATCTGCCTGGCATGCATACGGCCCTGGGTCAGCTTCCCCAGCACATGAAAAACAGGTGAAAACAGAAGGTGGCTCCATTTACCTTTTTCCACGGTCCCATCGCCATCAGACAGAATCACCCAGGGCACAGCCTTCGTGCCTTCGATCTGGTAGATGACCCCCGTGCGGTCATCCACAGAGTAGAGTTTCCCATTAAAGACGACCAGATCAGAGAGCTCCATGCCCCTTCCCTTCTCTGCCAGGTGGGACTCTAGGATCCCATGGTCTTTGTCCCACTCAATGGTCACTTTATCCCCACTGTCTGACAGGGTCAGATAGCCCTTCTTCAGGTAACTGAACCAGGTGTTTTCCTCCTGGGCCTTAGACTCTGTGTCCAGGTCAGCAATGACTGCAATTCGGTACCGAAGTCCACCTGGTGTCCTCTGGGGGGCCGAGAGGGGGTAGGTGTCATTGTAGTGGGCAGCAGGCATCTGGCCAAGTCTCCAGTTGTGTGCATTGTGAGCAAGAGTCCTGCCCGGTGCTGGGCGGTGGGAGTACAGCAGCCAGAAGAGGGCTGCGCCCACGAAGGATGTCAGGATCACCCTCCAGCGGGGACGGAAGCGGGGGTCTGCAGCCTTGGTCATGGACGCCAGCACAGGAAGTCCCCCCACACTTATCCGGAGGGAGTGCATAGGCTCATTCCATTCCAGGTGGTCAGAGGGCTGGATGGGCATCAGACTGAGCACCCGGCAGAACCTGCACCCCAAGGAGAGAGGAGAGTGGTCAGCAAGCAGGAAGGACATGGTCTCAGCAGAGTGTCCAGGCTGCAGTCAGGCTTATCCAGAAGAAACGGGCTTTCGTGGCTCTGTCAAAACCTGACCCCAGCAAGCTTTATTTACTCTTATTCAGCAAGACAACATCTTTTTAGAAGAAAAATTATCCCCTGTCCCTGTCCCAGCTGGCAAGACATAAAGATGAGCAAGAATGAGGGGTTTGGGGTGGGCTGGTGCCTTACAGACTCTAAAGGGGAACAAACAGGGGAGTCAAGTGGGGAAGGGAGCAGGGCAACAGAGGGAGCACAGACCCAAATGTCACCTCCTATAAGCCCTCCCCATGTTACACAGCGGGACTGTTAATTTCTGCCTCCACCTCAGCACCCCCAGCTCCCAGTCAGTGCCCAGCACAGACTGGACAGGGGCTTAGTAGGCGAATGAGGCTTTACTTCCTGGGCCAAGCCCATGAAATGAAAAATAAAGCAGATGGGAGCCAGGCAGAAGACCTCCACCGACTTGATGTGCTGCTGGAAGCGACTCCTCCCTGGCGCCTTCTACTAACTTCCACGACTGCAGGGACAGAGTCCGAGCCACTCCTGCTGCTGGGGGCCCAGCCTGTGTGTACACAGGCTCCAGAGGACTGCTGGGCTCACCCAAGGCCTTGGCCAAGCCCTGGGCCCCTCCCGGGCCACACCCCAGGCAAGTTCAGGGTTGGGCGCTGGTGGTGGTGGGCAGGAGTGGTGGCTCTTTTCCACACCCTCCTTGCTTGCTTCCAGGCAGAGAGCGATGGTTCAGCGGGACCACAGAGGTGCCAGGCCAGCATCAGCATTGCCCCCCTCCCTGGAGTGGGGAGCTGCCTGTCTCCAGGACAGTTGCCCAGTGCCATCGAGAAGCTGCTCCTGGCTCTGCTGGGGACACAGCTGGCCACTGCTCCTGGCCCTTCCACCTTCAACTTAAAGCAGTTCAGTACCTCCCTTCTGGATCAATGGAGCATGTCTGCCACCTCAAGAAAACAGGGAACAAAACACATGTGACTTTATGGGCAGCTGCTGCTCTCACCGCCAGACAACATCTGGGAATGGTCTGGGCACCCCAGCAGCTGTGTGTGAACCTTGGGCCCTTGTGCACCTGACCACGAGGCACCCACATCCAGGCTGCAGGCCGTTTACAGGTCAATGCCCCACATGGAAGCCTGCATCTCACGCCCTCTCCTTGGACAGTCGGGTTTTAGCCTGCAGGGCCAGGTTCAAGGGTGAAGTGTGTGCATGAGGTCTGTTATTCTGAGCAAGAGTGGGAGAAGATTCCAGGCCCCTAAGGGGCTATGGCAACCACCTCACAGGGTGGGTCTCTTGGGCAAGGGCTGCTTCTTGGCAATGGCCACAGGTGGTCACTGTGGCCTTCCTGCCTGGAGGACTTTTCCCTGATGGGTTCTGTTTCTCCCTGTCCCTTTTTCAACCCTAGGGCTTCAAACACTGGCCAGGCCAAGAGTCCCAGCGGTTTATCCTTCGCCTGATGTGACCACTGAGCTCTGAATTCCTCCATCTCACCTCCTATGCAAAATGCTGCCTGATTTCCAACATGCATCTTAAACATGATGTTCCAAAACATAAGCCCTAGGCCCCCTCGCCTCAAGCCCCTCACCCCATCTTCCCACGAATGGCATGGTGAGGAGGCTGCCATGCACAGCTGCCAAGCAGAGACTCTCACCAGAACCTAGGAGGTGAACCTTTCTGAGTGGGTGTTACACTTCAACGAAAAGATACCAACCACCACAGAAATCCTCAGAGTGACCTGATCCCTCCCTTTTCATTCCCAAAGTCCACTGGCAGAGCTAACCATTCAAAACTGGCCTCCTATCCCTGACTCCCATCCATTTCTAGGCTCAGCCCTCACTATACCACGCCAGCAGCCTCCCTCAGTCCCTCTACAGCCACTGTCCTCCCTGGCAACCCATTGCCACCCAGCAGCCTGCACCACAGCCTATGGGACCTTCAGGCTTCTCGTTCCAGGAACACAGTCCTGCAGCCTCCAGTGCAGCCCTCCCCACTCTCCACCACCTCCTCTGCTTGCCAGCCCCAGCCATGCTGGTCTCCTTTGGTCCTGGCTACCACAGCCCTCATCCCCAGGGCACAGCTTCTGTTCCCCTGCCTGGGACACTATGGTCCTGCTCTTTGCATGGCTAGTTCACTTCCATCTTCAGGATTTTCTGAATGTCCACTCCTTGGAAAGACCATGTCCCTCCTGCCCTCCACCATCTGTGGCCTTATGCAACTGTTCTTGCTCTGCCTTGAATTCTGTGCGGGGACTTGCTCTGCTGTCCCTCACACTCAGCTTACCACTGGGCAGCTGGTAGAAACTTGGTGCACATTTGCCAGAGGAATGAAAAATAAATGTCGTAGTTGGCCATTATTCAACTGCCCCTCAAAACCCTGTCTCCTCTGTGCCCCCAACCTAGTCATCCTGCAAACTCACAGCTTGAGATCAAGTCCCTGACATGTGACCCGTTTAGCTGCACATCTGAGCTGCATGTCCAGGGAAGATGGCACCTGCTGTCACACACTGTGCTGCCGTCCTCCCTGGCCCTGGAGCCCCTGCAGGTATTGCTGCTCAGCTCTCTCGACATCCCTATGTCACCAACCACATCTCCACCATTCTTGTCAAAATTCCAGCCCACTGCTCCCAGCAGCCCCTCTTGCAGCAGCTGAGGCCTGGGTGTGGCCACATCCCTACACTTTGTGTCAGGGAAAGGGTTTCCCTCTGCCACTCAGCTCGGGGTCCCCAGCAGGCTGGGTGCTGCTGCCTCCTCTGGCTCACCTCACTCACTCTTCAGACTATTCATGGGACACAGCAAGTACTGAACTTTGGTTTGTGGACGGCAGATCTGTGAACCCATGAAGGGGGACAAGTCCTTCCTGAGCCCCTGGCACCTGTGTCACCATCTCAGAAGAACACTCACACTCACTGGTCCCCCTCTCCTTGGGCCGCTGCACAGCCTGGATCTGAACTTCCTGCATGTTCTCTGTGCCTCTCAGTGCTCTGTCCCTCCTAAAACCAGGGGGCCTCTCTGCTGGCCCCTGGGGCTGGCTTCCCTCTCTGCCAAGTGTACAAGCTCAGTCACTACCTCATCCTCTAGCTCTCCCATGGCTTGACATCTGCTAGGAAGGCCCTGCGCCTCTGTGGCCTACACCCCCCTGAACTGCAGGCCAGTTGAGCAGCCACATTCCAGGCCCCTGGGCACTAAACAGATTCCTCTACAGGAATTTACTCTCCTGGCTAAGGATGGGCCCAACCTCGGGAGTCACCTGGAGCAGTAACAGCTTTCTGGTTTCCATACACCCAGGCAGGCACCAGGCCACTTACACTGCCCATCCCCGCATCCTGCCTAGTCCTCTCAACCTGATAACGTCCGAGGGCTCCTAATGACCTAGAACTTGCAGGTCAAAACTTGCCATTTCTAGTTTTCAGACCTTAGACAAGGGACTTCCCTTTCTCAGCCTCAGTTTCCTCCCTGGTGCCACACTGAAGGGAGAGGGCTACCCCGGCCTGACTGCCATCTTTCCTCTGAAAAGCACTGTTTACCTACTTCAGCCTGTAGAGAAGGCCGGAGTCTTCAGGCCCAGCCTCCCTTGAGTGCTCCACCGGCACGACACAGGGTCACTCACAATTCTAGACTCCAGGTGTCTAGACCCTACTCAGGGTGTTTCCTCCACCGGGGATGCTGGTCTTCTCTGCCCACAAGGAAGCACAACTCCCTGGAAGTACCAGGACAGCCCTGCTCCCTGCTCCCTCCTCTCCTGCCTCGTGTCTGAGGTGAGTACTCCTCCACAGGCCCCACCCCCAGCAAGCCTCCCTCCTGGAGGAAGCTGATCCTGGCCCCAAGATACCCAAGAACTGGGGCTGGGGTTGTGGCTCAGTGGTAGAGCACTTGCCTAACATGTGTGAGGCACTGGGTTCGATCCTCAGCACCACATAAAAATAAATAAACAATTGCCATTATTTAAAAAAAATAATAAGAAGAAGAACCTAGGAGAGTGACCTTGTATGGCAATGTGAACTTTGGAGATGTGGTAAGGATTCTGAGTTGGGAAGGCGGTCCGTAGGCCCTAAATGCAAGCACAGTATCTTTTTATAAAGGGGAGGCAGGAGATCGATGTAAACAGAAAAGAAGGCCAAGTGACCTCAGAGGAAGAGGTAGGGTGACATGGCCACAATCCAAGGAACACCTGGGACCCCCTAAAACTGGAAGGACAAGGAATGGATCCTCCTCTAGAGCCTTCGGAGGAAGTGCAGCCCTGGGGACACCTTGATTTTGACCTAGTGGATTGATACTGGTTTCAAGTTCTCTGGCTATTCAATCTCCATAACCTTGAGAGAAAAAGCGTGTGCTTCCTTAAGCCACCAAGTGTGTCACCTGCTAGGGCACCCTAGGAGAGGAAGACCCTCCCAACAGCGTCCTTTGTGCACCAGCACACCACACAGCCCAGCCTGGCCAGGTGAGCTCCTGGAGGAAGCTCTGCCTCAGCACAGGACCTCCGCGGCCACAAGACGGGAGGTCTGGCCTTCCAGAGTACCTTCCTTCCCTCCTTTAGCACCCAGGAGTTGCTGTGTTTTGCAGAAGTCTCCCTTGCCTTTGTTCTTCACCGCCCCACACCGGGTTCTGCCCGAGGCTGACTCTGGCTGCCTTGGCTGCCCAGGCCATCAAGCCAGGGCTTCCAGGGCTTCTGGAAGCTTCATTTAAAAGACACACAGCCACCAGCAACAGAAGCCAGGGCCGATGAAAGACAAATGGACAGGGGCTGGTCCCAGAAGAAAGGAGCTGAGCCTGTCCCCCTCACACCCTTGCACCCTCAAAGGTGAAAGAAGCTTGTCACCCCCACCTGCAGCATGAAGTTTTCATAAGGAAAAAAAGAACAAAGGCTGCAGTGAAAAGCCCCAGGTTCCTGGGCAGCCAAGTGCACCTGGCAGGGGGCCTGCAAACAAGTGTCACCCAGGCTCAGAAGCCTTCCAGGACCACACCCTGCTAGCCGGCTTCTTCCCATGTTGTTGGTGCTCCCTGGAAAGAGCAACCAGAGCACCAGCTACCTTAGAGGCTCTGGCTCCCGATTCCTCTACCCCTTTTCTAGCAGGCACTGAGAAAGGCTCACCGACCTTCAGGCATTTCGGATTCCTTTACCAAAAAGCCAGAAACAGCAAGGCTCAGCAGTGGCAGACACAGATGTCTGCCCATTCCAAAGGACGTTTTTAGGTAGCATGGGAGCAGCGAGGAAACAGGGTGTTTTTCTCTATGCACACCCAGGAGGCAACCCAGGCTGTGTCCCTATCCTGGGAGTGAGTAGCTCCTCCACTGTTAGGAAGAGCCGTGACTCAGAAGACACCTACCTCCATGGAAACCCCAGGCCTGCACCCACTCTCCACCGTAAGCAGAGGGATCAGGGGTGCCTACACAGCAGACAGCCGGCCGGTCTACGCGTCTCTCCTACTTCCTTAAGAAGTGCAATAAGGCAGGTGGTAGAGCAAACAGGTTTAAGGCACTGTCAGAGCAGACTCCTCCCTTTCAGGATCCAGGCAGGGCGGGACAGCTCTCGGTGCTGGGTCTCCCAGTCCCTCACTCCTGCACCGGAGAGAATGCGCGACGGCAAGTCTCACAGAAAGGGACACTTGCTTACCCGCGCTACTGCCCTTGAGCCCATTTCAAATCTGGACAGGTGGGCAGCACAGGGAAGTAAGAGGAGTGGTGTGGGGACCACGTTCCCGTTGACCAAGGCTGACTAACCGCATTCTTGACCTAGAACCCATGCAGTGTAGGTTAAAATCCTTTACCCAGGGTTTCAACAATCCCTGATGGACCCAATCAGGGCTCATTCCAGACAGTTCAGTCGCACCCTCATGCTTCCCTCAGTGTGGGCTCCTGGGACAGGCGGGCAGTAGACCCTTGGAGCCACTCCACTTGGCCTGGCCACTCACCTGCACTACATGCTCAGAGCTCAGTCACCCTGCTCAATGTGAAGCCAGATGTCAGCTCCTTCTGACTTCCCACAGCATCTTCCCCTGCCCACTCAACTCCGGGACTTATTACAGAGAAATAATGAAGATTAAAAAAGTGTGGACCAAAAGAGGAAAATGAACAGCTTTCCAGTTTTCTCTAGTATCAAGATTGCTTTTTCCTAACCAATACCTTGGCAATGAAAAGGAAAAGCAACATAAATGTTCTTAAAAATCAGTACAAAAGTTTTAAATTCCCTTAATCTTGGCATTTGACACAAGCTTCTGGGGAAATCTCAATCCGCAGAGGGCACTGTCCCCCCACATCCTAGTACCATTCCACAGATAAACGACCTCCCAGTGGCAATGACCCACTTTACACTCTGGACCCAGCTGCAGATCCCAGCTCACAGCACACACTAGAGCATCTGCATGCCCACCCCATGCAGCTATGGGAGGGCCATCCTCACTGTGGAGGACCTTCTCAAACAGAGGTGACCGCCCGTGTGTATTCTTGGGAAACTGTATGTGGGGCCACATGCAGGGAGGGGGTAAAACAACACCAGAGCAAGGACAACTGCTTCCACTGCACCCCAGGACTCTCCTCACCACTCCTGTGCTCAGGGTGGCATGACATGTCAGGCACACAGGTGACAGATGGGCAAGCATGTTCTCCTGTACCAAAAGTTTAAGCCCACACACTCACTAAGTTGCTCTGGGCTGCGAAAACCCGGTCACACCCATTGGGCCCATTCAGTTGCAAGATTATGATTTTGTCCACCTCTTTGGATGTAACATAAGCTTTGGGGATCGGGTCAATTTGGACAAGAAAAAAAGTGACAGACCTAGAGTATTGTTCCTAGACTGTTATGGTGGCCTTGTGACAATGCCTAGACAAATCTGTGCTTCACTTGAGTTCTCTTCCTGAGGACACGCTGAGCCACATGCGACAGGAAACCCTTGCCTCATCCAGAGAGCAGGCTGGCTCCTCCAATCTGCTTTCTACAGGGTTTTTGGGCACACAGAGAAGGCTCACTGAGGGCAGTGGGTAGAGGCCCCAGGGAGACCACTATGCCAACAGGCTCCAGCTGAACTGTTATGCTGAAACCTAAGGAGGAGCTAGAATAAGGGTCTGCACCCCAGACCAGGAAGACAGTCCTCAGCCAACATGCTCACAACAGGAAGGAGCTGCCAATTCAGCTCCTTCAAGGCTGCAGCACATGCTCCCTTGTCACACAGGTCCTTCTGAGATCTGGTGCTTTTCTCAAGTTTTGGCCAGTCAAATCCCCTTGACACCAGCAGACTCAGGTTCCAATCCTGTGCAGTGTTGAGAACATGGTGGAAGACGATGCCAAGCAAACCCCAGAAGGGAAAGAGAAATGGAGCTGGCATGCTAAGGGACCAGTTTTCCTGAAGGGGAGAAGACGCCTGG